AGCCATCATGGCAGCAGATACCGGTACCCATCCCTATACATCACACTATTGTTCTTACATTTGTAACACACACTTTCATATTTATTGGTTGAGACATTTTAGTTATCCATAACTGAAATGACTTTGAGAAGCTAATGGGTTTCTAAGAAATGCACATTGAAAGAGTCCTTGGCTGAGGCAGCCTTTCCTCGTGTTCATACTTCTGCTGTGAATAAATCTCCTGTAATGTACTGCAAGATGGAAAAAATGTCTGTCTTCATTTTGTGTGAAAATGTGTAAAGAGGTTGAGCTGAAAAGCTGAATGAATAAGGATTCTACAATCGGCTGAACAAATTATTTTATTTCTGCTCTTCTGCTAGTTTGAGTTACAGGATTAAACATCCCACAGAATGAGGACATCATTTACATTTCTTTCTTTAACTTTGAACAACATGGGGAACAAGAAGATTCTGCGTCCTTTAAAAGTCCTGATCATTTTAACAGGGATCTTCTCATTGCATGGATACAATCCTAACCAAACACTTTCTTTGCAGCTGTTGGGAAATGTGTTGTTTGAGTGAGAGTTTTTGAAGTCTTTGAAGAATGCATTAGCTTAAGCTCACTTTTGTCCAAGAAGAGGGGAACAAAAGAAATTAGTTAAACAAGAGATATCAGTTCAATCAGAAACTAAACAACTGTTATGATTGGGAATGATGGGAATGATTCAGAGCTGCAAGATGCCTTGATTTTCTTCCAAAGACATGAGTGATTTGTCCTTTCCTGTGTTTTATTTTTGCCATTTCTCTGCTTTCTTAACCATTTTAACTGCCTTCTTGCTTCCTCCCCACAGTTTCCTTTCTGCCTCTATCCCTCCTACAACTCACTTTGTCTGCATACATTTACTCATCTGGAACATTGTGAACGACAATGTTTGCGGATTAGTGTGTTTATATACAGTATGCATGTCTCAGTGCTGTGTGCTGAGCAGGTCCGTTGCAGTAGATGGAGATTAATGTCTTGCTTGAAGGGCGCCTCAGCGTTATTTCCACAAGTTGTCATCAAGAAATTGCTGGTTTTCTGTTATGTCTCTTTGATATCAGGAGTTTTCAAAAACCAAACTTGACACATCTTTGCTTCTTCTCTTTCTCTTGTTGTCTTTACAGCGTGCAAGTGTAACAGCCATGCCAACGTTTGCCACGTCAACACAGGAAAGTGCTTCTGTACCACCAAGGGCGTCAAGGGAGACCAGTGTCAGCTGTGAGTGTGTCAACCCCGATCTAACTTGTCTTGAATTATTAGACGACCCGATCAAATAAAATTTATTTAATCAGTCACTTTAATGCTTTAATATATGACTGGCAACAAGAAGCGGACTGGAGAGAACACTCAGTGATGTTTCAGTGTGCAACGATGCTTCATCGTGACACCGAATCCATTTCATGATTGCAAATTTGCTGATTATTGCATAAGTTTTGGATTAACAGTGAAATTAGGTTGATTCAGGATTTGATATTTTGGGTGATTGGAAAGCTAGAATAGTGTTTAAAGAGTGCATGGGTTGTGTGTGCATGCTTTCCCGTGACTGCCAGACTGCACCGCTGCAGCACTACAATATCCTAAATGGCTTGGCGGGCCAATGTGCCGCGGAGACAGACTGAAAACTGCTGCATCAATAAATCTAGCAGGCGAGGGTAGAAAGCAGAGCTGGTGAGTGCTCTGGTGTTTGTGTTGTTTGCCATGTGGAACATGCAGCATGATGAGACAAGACAACCCCGGCTGGGACAGATTTCTTCCCCTTATTCTTAAGCTATGATAGCATACCTCAGATTATTTGAGTCTATCTAAGTGAGTGTGTTTGATGATTTTCCACCAGTTATATATTTTAATAATCAGGTATAGATTCTCTGCCCCGTCTTTTCAATTACTTCACTCAAAACATCAGTATGTTAACTCGTTTTATTAGAGGTGCGGCAATTTGTTTTTGATTTTCAGAACAAATAACCATCTAGAGAAATGATTTGCAACGTGAGTTGTTATGATTGATGGTAAACATGGTTTATATAATGATATTTCCTCCTCATTATTTCTCCTCCATGCTCTTGCAGCTG